AGAGACACGACATACTTACGGCGCAACATTTCTTTAATCTCACTCGATATATATATACATATTTATACATATTTATACATGATAAACTGCGCGTGAATTATTTGCGTGAATTACAATCATATGTGGCGACAGGTTCGCGATACAGCAACGTCTGCAGGCGTACAAGGAAAACTGGACATTATATCGACATTGTAAAATGGCGCTGGCCGATTAATTCGTTCAGAACGGTAAGTCTAGTGATGTTGAGAAATCTTTTCGTTTTATCTTATTATCTATTTCTATTCGTAAATTACTCTTTTATGTGTTTCTGTGATTGACAACGTTTGTATTGTATGTACGTGGACGCCGGGACGCGAAACGGATCGGGAAATGACAATACGACAAAATAACGATCGCATTGGCTCGCAATTGATAGGTAACTCTGCTATCATTCCTCCACCTAGCAAGAATCGGCGCGAGCCGGCTTGAAGGTACTTCACACGTGTGCGCGCGTGCCCACGCGTACTTGGAGATTGAAGCATTAGCGCGGACCTTTTTAGACACTAAAATGCCAGACAGTGAATGAATTAACACCGTCCGATCAGCATAATTAACTATTGTAGTAGTCAATACTAAGTCGGTGACTGTTTGAACGGCGGCGTTGGAATTGAACCGTGCGACAACGAGTGTCGGCTCCAGTCTTAATCATCTATCGGTCACAAAGAAACAAACCCGTTCTTACCGTCTGAAACCGTCTGAAATACAACCCGTACTTACTTACCCTTAAGGTAGCTATATAAGACGCACCAGACATCGCTCAAACAGTCATCGTTTCCGCACCACATCTACGACTGCTGCTATAGGTAATTATGATTTTTCTCTCTCGCAGTACCTTGCGCATGCATGCAACATTTGCTTTAAAACGACTGTGCCCATCGTTGCTATCAGAAAGCTTTATATCTGTATACGGTGGTCCATATTACGAATATGATATCTCATGCGCTAATTATATATTATATATATATATATATACATATATATATACATATATGTATGTATAAATATATATATAATATATATATATGTATGTATAAATATATATATAATATATAGCTAACAATAATCTGTGTCACTGCCATAACTGATGAAAATTCTCGCGCGCGTATTCCGTTGATGTTTTCCACTCAAACCCCCAAAACTTTACAGTGAGCGAAATACAGGTTCCGGCACAACGCCCGCCCGTCTCCCATATAGACGAACGAGAAATATAACTGTGAAATATGCCGGAAAGAAAACGTTAGCTCGGTCAAACATGGCGGCTGGAGTATAGTCGGCTGGCCTATGCGAACCTCCCCGCATCGCGCGGGCGCAGATGGTGTCGCGCGGCCGCAATCTCGCCAGGTATTATATGCGATTTTTATCCAATTGTTAAAAAAATGATTGCGCATGAATAATGCGCTGGTGGCTGCGCTCGATATTACCGCTGAGCGCCGTATATGACAGCTTCGCCTGAAGGCACTGGATTAACGCGTGTGCTACTCATAGCTCGCATTCTTTGTTAGAGGGGAGACATCCTTCACGCGGTCTCCTACCATCTGCCGCCGTGTAAGCCGACTGCTGCGATGGGAAGGCAGTTCAGCCATCGCAACATGAGCAAATAGGTTGTCATTGCAGGGGCTTATTATAATTCGGTGTGTAAGCTATAATTAATTAATTAAACGAGCTGAATGTGAAATGAAAAATGAAAGGTATAGATTAGGAAAGTCTTTTATTATATGATTTAACATATTTCACAGTATGGGTTAGAACGGGTCATTGATCAGAGAAACGCGTTGAAAATTGAAATTGTGTATGAAAAATGAAAGGAGAGAAATATAAAAGCGCTCCAGCCGCTAAGCCAGTAAGATTTATTACAGAGTTTAACATAATTCGGAGTTTAAGTCGCGGTTGAATATTTGAGAGTCGTAAGCAGTGTGGTACACAGAGAGCCGCGGGCTAAACACGCGTGATACTCTAGTTGATAGATCTAGTTTAACGATGCGTGGGCCCGTCTTCATCTGGTCGTAGATATAAATCTAGCTGTGCAATTTAAAAAGGTAATTTTAATTAATGTCCATTAAGTAGAATTGCACGTATATAACGTACATATATATAACATGTTCATATATATTTACACATAACGTGCATGTATTTATTACACTCGAGTTCCATTAACTCTCACACTCTATACATGTAAATAAATGTATGCTCGTATTTTGCGGGAGGCCCCTGGCCAAGCAGCCGTCTTGCTCGTTCTATCATAATGCTGGTTCCGGATAGACAATCGTAAAAATCGTCGAATTTCTGTATCGTTAAACATTTCTACCGTAGTCGTCGTCACAAACGCTAAAAACTACAGTGCGTGCCGTCGCCACAACTCGTGTAGTCTCGTGTCGCCTATAGGTGTAATTTGCCCGACGAACAAAGCGGAGATGAGTATACCTACCGAAACCTTACAATTCTCGTCGGACCGCTGAAATCACTGAAGCAGTGACGTCACTCGTCGATGCTCTGTATATACACACCGCCCGCCTCACCGCATGCATGCGACCCGTACACTACGTAATTAAATTGTCGGTCCTCCTCTGCATCAATTCAGCAAACAGCTCGAACAACTGGTGTGCGTACGCATACATGCATGCATGTACATATAGGCGATGTCGTAATTACTTACGGCTTAATAAGCGGGATGAGACAGGAAAGCATTGCGTTTGTAGCGATGGACGCCACGCCGGATATTATGGGATAGGCCAGAGCCGACAGGGCGGCGGAGCGTGTGCGAGCACATTACCCGTAATTGGCGATTATGGTCGGCACGTTTGTTCAGCCGTGTTAGTGTATATATATATATATATATCGGAGCGTGTGCGAGCACATTACCCGTAATTGGCGATTATGGTCGGCACGTTTGTTCAGCCCTGTTAGTGTATATATATATATATATATCGGAGCGTGTGCGAGCACATTACCCGTAATTGGCGATTATGGTCGGCACGTTTGTTCAGCCCTGTTAGTGTATATATATATCTATATGTATGGGTGTGTGTGTGCGCGCGCGCGCGCGCGTGTGTGTGCAGGTGTCCCTTGACTACGTGTGTTACCTGTTCGCGAACCGTAGGTGTAATTATCATATTATCCCCCTAGCTCTGAACGGAACTGTATTAGACACAGCACGCGGCAGGTGCATTAGTGTATCGACTAAAAGGGTATTTATTAGTGAGTTTATTTATTTGTTTGATTTATTGTTTTTTAAGTTTAGTCTTACCGTATAATTAAATTGTTTGAAGCAGACCTATTTACCTATAGAATTTGCGAGGATAAAATACCGTATACCTGCATATTTATGTTATCAGGCATTCACTTGCCAAGGGTTTATCATCATTTATCATAGATTTTGGGTGATATCATGGCACAGTACGGCTTTGCATGTCGCCCCTCACGATGTTGCACTTTTCGATTTTTATCTTGTACGTTGCAGACCATGCTAATCAGAGAAGTGCTATTGTAATTATAGCTAACTAGTGCTGAATGTTGCCTGTTTATGATGAAATGATGACATAATTAATCTAACTAAAACTAATGGCGAAATATAGGATATCCAAATTTATATTTGGCAAAAATTGTTGATGTGGCGTGACTTCGATAGAGGATTCGCGTGGAGTGGCGCCAACGGCATTGTTTACCAAACAGTGATAGAACGTTTTTTTTTCAAATTTTAAAATAATTCTGGTAGATATTGCGCAATGTTATTATATGTAGCATAATTTAATCTTACATTAAGTAAAACCATGCATTAAACTTCGTGTATTGTTCTCCCTTTATATGCGGAAGTTCACAGTAGAAACACTAACGCAAAATGAGGCGTGAGCCATCGATGAATTATTCCTCTAAAAATAATCGCGAATAAAAGGTGATAGAGTATAGTAATTACAACATAACGATAGCAGGCGCCGCAAAAGCTATACCCCATAATTCTCGGCGTGGTCGAGTGTATAATTATATGCAGCCACTGTGTTAATATTGCACGGCCTCATCAATATAAGCGAGTCAATGATATGCAGATGAAATATTTAAGCTATTTTCGCCCATACAATACGGGCGTGTTTAATGTTTTATGGCGGGCTGTATTAACCCTTTTAGCACCTCATCGGGTATATAAACGTCTGCATATAAACTCCTGCCTGTTGGCTTAACAACAAAGATATATAGATCGCTGGTTAGGCGACCACACGACAGCTGGTGCTACACGAATACGTATGATACTACGTGCTTATATATTATTTGTGTGATATTTATTTTCGCGACAGATGACAATGGATGGTTTCATAAGCAACGGACGTCTACTGTACTAATACACATTCGATTAATATATATATATATATATAATTATATAGCCATTAAACTCATATGCACATATGCGTACATACATACACACGCACACATACAGATGAACAGGCGTACACACATACACACACTTTGATTTATTATGCAAGCAACTTCCTAATTGCATGCTGCCAGCTAATTTCGGAGGCGTGTACTTATGAGGGCTTCGCGGGTAGAGCGAGAGTGGATTAGAGAGAGAGGGAGAGAGAGTCACATATACACATATGAATATAGTGCTATATCCATCAGCCCATGCCTAGCTGCCAGATGTTGCACTGTTAATCACGCGAAACAAAGCCTACTAGACGCCGACGCCCGAGTCGGTTCAGAATGTGACGTCAGGTTGCTGCAAACTGAGACATGCCGGCGGCCGGAAGAACAACTCGGTATGCGAGCGATATTCACAACAATCCACAAAAATTATTTGCTTGATGGAAGTGGCCTTGTATATCAGAATGCTTACGCACTATTTAATCATATGCGTGTATAATAATGTATTCTATAATAATATTAGCGTGCGCGGCGCGGGAAAGATACGAAAACGCGGTTAAGTCCGAACATCAGAAAATGGCGGCACGATTATTAAATATGACGACGAGTTGGCGGGTTACGGCGTTGAATCATGACGGCCAACGAGTTCAACGAAAACTTAATACTCTGTCACGGCTAGAGAAAATATCGTTGACGATAGTTGATTCTCCAACACGTACCCTAGATTTAGTTGGTTATCACCGTGTAGATTTGTTTTACCACTGGATTTCCGCTGGGGCTGCAGCCGTGTAGCGTGGCTTCTCCTATCTGCTGTTGCTATGCGTGCGTATTGATTTGACATTCTTCGTTCAGCGTCGCGATTAGAAGCCAGCAGTACAGAACGACCAGCCAGGCGGCAGCAGGCAGTCCGTGTACAGCCGTGACTCCGCCTCTACGCACGTCTGCTTGCGAATGAGGTTAGCCTAGGCTAGTGCTGAGACCGTTCAGCTTAAAAATTTAAAAATATATAACGATACTACTGCTACACTATAATGATGATCCTAATTACATCGTCATTAGTCAAGCATACACTAAAGCGTAGTGTTAGTTCACTATGGCATTGGCAATTTTTTCGTAGCCATTGTCTTTCGGCGTATTATCATAATATTATAGAGTGTAATATCTTCAGTTTTTTTGGGTGCCGGTATGGGTGCATGAATCAACCATCGATCAGCAACATTAACGTACGTGTGTAAATTGCGACCTGATCCGTGCCTTCATATTGCGTTATGCGTTTGTTGAGATGATATGTATTCATTTATTGCTTCATTTTTAACTAGTGGACAAATCGCTTTTCAACGACACAAACAGTACACGTTTTAGCAGTCATGCACGCCTGTGGCAGGTGGCATGTGTACAGCTATAGTCGGTAAGCAATATTTTGCTAATATTGTCGAAAACTGTAAATACTCTAAATATATATTCAGAATGGCTGCACCCAATGGCGTCATTAATAACTTGAGCATGCATGCCCCGCCGCGGGGCTAGGGTGACGGCGTCACTCGGGTTACGTGCAGCCCGAGGTGTGTTTGCGCATTGTAGAGTCAGAAAGCTCGTAATTTGCAATCATCCCAGTGACAAAGCATGAAAAATTACAAACCGGTATTATACGCCCATGCAGTAAATATTGATTAGATACAAGCACAAAAACAAAACGACAATGCAAAAAATGTACTTACTCTTATATACTATAGTTACGAGTACTAGTACACTAATTCATGTCCGGTCTCGCAGGAATCATAGTTGTGAGCGCCTCACAGTATAAGTAAACGATAACTCTTAAAATGTGTAGCAATTCAAACAAGTAATGTGTAAAAATACGGCACTTCAATTAAGCAAGAAGCGCGGCAGCAGACCTAACAGTGTTAAACAACACGTGTAAAAAACGTGCCTACACGAATAAAAGAGGTAGTAATCTGTAAGCTGTAGCAGCAGCAAACAGATGAGAC